TTTATCAAACTTAACTTTAGAATTACAAATCTTCTATTACTAGTATTCACAATGACACAATTAATGATATTAAACTGGGCTATATGTGTATAAGTTTCTTGTACACACCAGATGCAGTTGCTGTCTTTATACTTTTGTGTGTGTACAGTTAGGTGTATAATGTACAACTTGTATAATTTTACATTTTGTGCCTTTTTTATGTTGCTTAAAGAATGTCACTCATTGGTCTACGGTGGTACATAAATCCTTAATCGGCTAAGATTTTGATATACATCACCTGTATCAGTAAGATTACATCAAACGCCTAATCAACCACAGAAATTTAACTCATTAAAAAATAAATGTAAAGCCCATTCATTTATCAGGCTTCAAATTTGCTTTTTAGTTTTCTAAACAAGTTGCTGGTTAAATAATTCATAATAATAAATTAATAGTAACAATGTTGCTTATTCTTAAAAAATCCTTTATCACTATTTTATTATTGTGCGAGTATAAGATATCTCAGAAATACCATACATAGAAATTTAAATCCTTAGCATAGGAAAACTGTGTGATTACAGCCTGAGTGATCGATCTTTGAATAGTGTTGCTACGCGAACATTTGTTATTGAGGGAGTAGTTCTAAGAAGTAGAACTTTCATATTTCTTTAACTTTCTTTTGATTAGACACGCATTTCAAATAAGTTTCCTCATATTTAGCCAATTTTTTATTTATTGTCCATATTCTTTTAACATATAACTAATTATTAAGAGTAGCTAGCTTTCGTCTCGCCGTCATTGTGTTACACCATATTGCATTTAAATAACCCGGATGATGATAGTAAAGCTAAACTCTGCTTTCAAGGCTTACTCTGAAAGGCTCATGGTTCTTTTTTACTTATTTTGATTGGACGCAATTTTTCAAGCTGTCCAATCAGACTCTACGTAACTTGAAAGCGCGAAACTTTGCTTGTCGGCGGATTAGTTACGCGCATGCGTATTCTTTCAGGCTCTCCCTTCGTAGTACTCTTGGAAAGAGGTGAGCTTATCCTTGTTTGCGGTGTAACTTGGGGTAAGGCTGTACTCAGTGAAGTTAAATTTTATTAATATATCTTGTTGTATAAATATCAAAATGTCTGAAAGCGGAGTGGTTCCGAAAAAAATGAGGAAAGTTGAAGGGGCAGGTCCAGTTGGTGACACAGATGAAAGTAGTAGGGATTTCGACCCTGAGACTCAGAAGTCTTTAGAAGAGATTGATGCTTGTCAGAATGAGATCGACGCACTCAATGAGAAAGCAAGTGAAGAAATCCTCAAAGTAGAACAGAAGTACAACAAGTTACGGAAACCTTTCTTTGAGAAAAGGAATGAACTCATAAAGAAAATTCCAAATTTTTGGGTCACAGCGGTATCCTTTATTTTAATTCTGTTTTTAATTGCACTGTACTTTTATTAGTGTTAATACTAATACTTAAAATGTAGTGGTAGTGTTACTAAGCCTAACAACATGGAAGCTGCGTAACCAGGCGAGTGTATTGTACCCATGCTTTGTTCTTTGCTGTGTACCACGCGGTCGTGTAGCCTGCCGCTGGGTAGATAACCGGTATTTTATACTATTCGCGCCAAGTAAAAGCGTTCGTTTACCTATGATACTTGTTGATGCCGGTTTAGCTAACCCTAGTGTGAGACGTTCGAATTTCCTGTACTGACAACAGTGACGTAATTATTATGAATAATTTATACCACTTAAATATTGTTTTACTAGCACGCGATTAAAGAAGGTAAGAGAGCTAATAACATATATTAATCAAAACTTGTAAGAAAACGAAAATATTTATGAAAATTCAAAATATAGTTAGATTTGGCATTTATGAATTAAAATTTATGAACTTTGAAGTTGAACCATTTTGATGTAGAATTTGAAAAACTTAACATTAGGTTTTTTTTTTTTTACTTTGAGTGTGATCAGATAAAACTAATTTTGCTTTTATTTATAAGACTTGCATAGATGTGTAATTTGTTTTTAAATATATAAATTCAATGAGTGTGATAGTCCTGTACAGTATACTAAAGAACTGTGAAATGAATTTTCTATAAAAGTAGTAGTAGTGTAAATATTGACTTAACAGAAGGTGTGAAAATGGAATAATGTTCCATATTCTGAGGATTTTGATATTTTCTAATATCCTTAGTTTTTATTCCTAAGTTGGAAAATGTTAGTTTAAAAATTTTCTATGCAAAAACGTTTTCCTGATGTGGAAGTATATACATTTTATGTATATAAATTGTAATTACAGTGCAGATTAAGAATCTGCCAGTTCCTTTATGACATTAACATAAGTGGTTGCTGTTTTTTATCAACAGAGTATGATATGTGAAAGTGAAATATTCATGGTTATTTTGTGATGTGAAACCAGCTGTTTTTATTAAAACTGCCACCAGTTGCCTAATGTGGATTGTGTAAAATAATGTGAACTTTCATTTTTAGCACTCCTACTCATGAGTCAGAACAAAATGATTCAGGTGCTCGTTTCATGAACTTGAAGATGATTCTTAAGAAGACTACAAACTTTCATTGATAAAAAAAGTTTACATGAAGAAAGCTTAATAAATAAACTTACTATTCTGAAAATTGTTTAATTTCAAAGTCTAAGTTCAAGGGAGGTCCAATTCAATCTACACTTTGATCAACGTGTGTATTGGATTGTACTAGTTTTGGAGAATTCCACTCCTCATCAGTAACCCTGAACACAAGTTAACCAAAGAGAGATAAGCTAGACCTATATCATAGTGACAGGTATCAACATGTTCACATAACAGAATGGTTGATAAAGAAAGCTTGTTATCCACTGGACAAAGAGAAATAAATTCTAATTTGGTGCAAAAAAAAAAATTCAGGTAATAGTAGTGTGTGACATTGTGGTATGGGATACCATGTTTTTAATGAATACTCTGATATTGTGACATTGTGGTATGGGATACCATGTTTTTACTCAATACTCTGATATTGTGGTATGGGATACCATGTTCTTAATCAATACTCTGATATTGTGATATGGGATACCATGTTCTTAATCAATACTCTGATATTGTGATA